CCTGGTGGTGTAGTGGTTATGGCACTTGGCTGCTAACCAAAAGGTCAGTGGTTCAAAGCCACCAGCTGCTCTGTGGAAGACGATGAGGCAGTCTGCTTTCGTGGCCATTTACAGCCTTGGAAACCCAGTGGGGGCTGCTATGAGTCAGAACTGACTCAATGGCAGTGAGTGTCATGTTTTTGGAGTTTGGTCCTTATGGGGGACGTGTGCCAGGTCCGCTCCCGACACCCTCCCCCCGCCTCGGTGTCCTGTCTTTAAAGTGGAGATGACAGCTCGTCACCTCCGTGAAACAAAACTCCAGCTGCTGGTCCGCGGGCTGCCTCTCTCCGAGCGGAGGTGAGCTCTTCCGGGCAAATACTGATGGGTGCAGGAATCGCCGCAGGGTTGTACGCACGGCTCTGCTGGACGCGAGCCGCCGACCTTCACCGGAAACACCAAGCCCACTGCTACCGAGTTGATTCCGACTCAGCAACTACCACTGGGTTTCCAGGTGGGACATCTGTATGAACACCACTTGGCTCACCTTCCTTCCATGCAGTGGCTGATGGGGTTGAACCGCCAACCTTCTGGTTAGCAGTCAAGTGCCTCAGGCATCACACCACCAGAGCTACTGCTGCAGCGGTGGATGGTGGGGCGCAGTCAGTCCCCTCAGGGGTAACCCCTCTGAACCACCAAGGCCCCCTCGCTCCAGCAAGAGGAAGTCACCTCCCAAACCATCGCCGTGGTACCGCCGTGGACTTCCAGTTTGAGAGCTGCAACCAGCTCTCATCCAATCAGACTTGCCGGGACCGAGGGAAAACTCTGAGTCCAGACACGGGGGCTGGGTGCAGGTCTGGTACAGGCCTCGTAACCTGGGGGTCACGCTCAGTCTCCCTCCGGCCCTTACGGGGAAAAGGAACACCCCATCGGACTGTACAGAGACAACTGGGATGCTCGCCAAGCGGGTGCAGGGTGGCCAGGCAGGCCTGACCCCGGCCCTGGTTAGCTGTGACCCAGGGGGCGTCACCGCTGTCTCTGAGCCTCAGTTTCCCCATTGAAATACCAGGATAATCACGCCCTCCACAAAGGGCGGGGTGAGAACTATCACTGCACAGACGCAGGCCTGGCCAGCTGGTGGGGCTGCTGTGATGGGGAGTGGGCACTGCCCGCGTGGGGCCGCGTATCCAGCTAGAGGGATCAGCGGGGAGCTGCAGGGACGGGGCTGTGCCCCAGTGCTCCCCATCGGCCGCCATCACCGTCCCTCCATGGCCCGACTGCAGGACAAAGGAAGTGCCCATCTCATGCCCAGAAAAACTGCGTGTGGGGGTGACGTGGACCCATGTCCTCCAGCCACTGTGGCCACCTGCCTTCTGACCGACAGGTGGCCACATCTCTCTGCCCTGTGGGGCTTCGGGGCTCGGTTTCCCCAGCTGCCTAGCCCCCGAGGGTCCGTCTCCACGGCCTGGTGCCCGCTGCCCGCCCCCCGAGGGTCCGTCTCCACGGCCTGCTGCCCGCCCCCCGAGGGTCCGTCTCCACGGCCTGCTGCCCGCCCCCCGAGGGTCCGTCTCCACGGCCTGCTGCCCGCCCCCTGCCCGCTGCCCACGCACCTTGGGCTGGATCTTGATGGTGGCGATGTCCGACTTCTTGTCGATGTCCTTGATGGTGGCCTCGTAGGTGTCCCCGCTCTGCAGCTGAACCTTGAGCTGCTGTCGGCCGGAGACAGTGTTGCTGCTGGACGCCACGTGGGCGTTGGTGACAATCAGGCCGGCCTCGGACATGATGAAGCCGGAGCCGCTGGACAGAGGCACGTTGCGGCCAAACAGAGGGTGTCTGTGGGCAAGACACGCAGGTGCTGGGGTGCGGGTGGGAAGCCCGTGGTGGGTGGGTGGCGGCTGAGAGTGGGTGAAGGGGATGTCTGACTGGCAGGCACTTAAAGGGGTCCCCATCCCTCATTCTTGTCCATGTGGGGCAGGCTGCTGAGCCTCCCAGAGCCTGTGTCCCCGTCTGGGAAAGGGGCCAACACTCCCTGGCTCACATGGCACCTGGTGATGGGACACACTACCCTGGCACCTCACTGCAGGTGGTCCTCCAGGGGACGGGGGACGAGGGGCCCAATGTGAAGGACGGAGCAGGTGCTCAGAGACGAGGTGACCCTGGCCTCTGCTCTGCCTTCGTGCAAGGACTCAGTGGCCAGCATGGCTGGTGCGGGCCCTGCAGTGAGAGCCGCCCAGGGAACGGATGTCCGTCCTCACCACGACCCCCCGCCCAGGAGGGTCACACTCAGGATGCGGCTCAGTGCCTCCTCTGGGGGACGTCCCTGGGACCTGGCTTGGGTGTGACGTGGGCAGGTGTGGTAGTTAAGGTTGTGTGTCGACTTGGCTGGGCCTGGCTGAGTGGCTGGGCAGCTGGATGTGGTATTCCCCATGAGGAGAGTGGTCATCCACTCCACGGTGCAATCTACTGGGAGCAGCTGAGGAGGTACCTTGGGGATGTGGTCTGCTTCCTGTGCATAAGGAGAAGCTCTGGGAATGGTCTCTAGGTTCTGGCATGCTTGGACCCTGCATGTAGCTGCGTTGTTGTTCAGCAGCCTGCCGTGCTCTGCCGACCGACCTTGGGACTTTCAATGGACTTGAATTAACTTGTCAACCTTGGGCTCGTCAGCCTCAGCAGCCAGCAGCCGTCTGAGTGAAGAAAAGCCTCCAGCTCCAGTGGGCCGGGAGCAGGAGGCAGAGCTGGACCCCAAGGTTGAGGGGCTTTCCCCCAGCCCCTAGAGCCTGGCACTTTGAACCAAATTGTAAGAGAATCAACTGCTTGTTAAGGCCTCCCACTTGTCGTATATTCCTGTCAGAGCGGCACTGGGGAACAGAACAGCAGAGACTCTGTTCAGAGCGGGGATGAGTGAGGAAAAGGGGTCCATGTTGTGCAGGGAGCAAAGCCTTGACAGGGTGGAAGTCTCCTCCTCGTCACGGGGAGCGGCAGCCCCCAGGGGCACAAGAGAACCACCACCTCTGAGTCCACAGGACCCATGACACCAGCAACACCCCCAGGCCAGGGCACCCCACTCACGGCCCAGGTGGAGACCCCGGCCTGGCGCAGGCAGGCTGGCCTAGGCACAGCAGGGTTGGGCCCAAGCAGCCTGGATGTGGGCCACCGCTGAGAACTGTCCGCTCATGTCCGTGCCCAGCTCGCTGTGCCCTGGACGCCCCCAGACTCGTCTAGTGTCTGCAGAGAGGCCCTGGGGGGGGGGCAGGGCCCCAGGCAGCTGGTGGCCTTCCTCCTGGGCCAGGGGTCAGGGCTCTGAGTTGGGGACATCCTGTCTGTGTCTGGGCTGCTGCCCACCCACTCGGAGCCCAACCTGGGCCGACACGGGGGTGGCATCAGGCCTGCAGACAGTCACTGGCTGGTTCGGGGCCAGGGCCTCCAGGAAGGCACTGCCGGCCAGGATGTGTCACCGGGCACTCGGGTGGCATTTCCTCAAGGACATATCTTGGTGTCTGGGCCCGCGGAGAGCCAAGGAGTGTCTCTGTTGCAGAGCAGGGGTTCACTCTGGGGTCAGACAGGCCCGGGGCCAAACCCCAACGCGGCACCTAGTGGCTGACAGCCTGCCCGGGTCCCAGGGCTCAGTTCCCAGGTGGAAAATGGGGACGACAGACCCCCTTTTGGATGTGTGAGATCTGCGGCAGATGGAAAAGGGTGGGGGACACCCATGGCTGCCGGGTGGTGCTGACGGCGGGGCAGGGGCTCCCACCCCGGACCCACCAGCTTTGTGTCCTCGGAGAAGCTGCAGGGGTGAGTCCCCAGAGCCTAGGCTCCCCCTGCTTCCACGAGGCGCGGACATAGTAACCAGGACAGCCCGGCTGAGACCCTCAGGCCAAGCCTGCCCCTCACGGAGCACGGAGACTCCCCAAGGACACGCTCCTCCAGGCATTCCCTCGACTCCTGCCCAGCCCCCTCCCTCAGCCGCGCAGGTGGGGACGGGCCAGAGGCTTCCTGCCCCCACCTGGCCTCTGTGCCTGTGTCCCTGTCTGCCATGCTGACAGCGGAGGCCTCCATCCTGGGGGGTGGGGCAGTCCCCAGGCCTCCCACAGACAGCGGTCTCACCACAGTCCCTCTGGGGTGGGGTGGGTCTGTCTGGGACAAAGCCCTCCACTGGGACCGCGGCTGCCCTCCGGCCCAGGCCAGGGTCAGGGCAACGGGGGCGCACCGCTGAGTCGGGAAGGGCATGCTTCGACTCTTCTCCTTTGGGGGGTCCCTTGAGGCAGAAAGAGACTCGGGACTGGGTCTGAGATCAGACACTTTGGCCAGCTTGACGTGGGAGTCAGGGCTTCCTGGAACCAGCTGTGAGGTGGGGAGGGCAGTGGGGTACGCAGGACAGGCTCTGCCAGGAGCAAGTGGGGAAACAGCTGGGTCTTCAAGGAGACACCCTGCTGGAGAGCTGGGAGCACCCCGCCCTGCACCCCCAGGAGGGCTCTGATAGTCTCCATCTCTGCCGACCATCCTTCACGCGCTCACCCACTCGTTCCTTCACTCACCCACTCATTCATTTCTTCACTCACCCACTTACTCATTCCTTCACTCACCCACTTACTCATTCCTTCACTCACCCACTCACTCGTTCCTTCACCCACTCATTCACTTGTTCCTTCACCCACCCACTCACTCACTCGTTCCTTCACTCACCCACTCACTCGTTCCTTTAGTCACTCACTCATTCCTTCACTCACTCACTCATTCATTCATTCACTCACTCAGTCACTATTCCTTCACTCGCTCACTCACTCACTCGTTTCTTCACTCACCCACTCACTCATTCCTTCACTCACTCATTCATTCATTCCTTCACTCACTCACTCATTCATTCCCTCACTCACTCATTCCTTCACTCCCTCCCTCATTCATTCCTTCAGTCACTCACTCATTCCTTCACTCCCTCCCTCATTCATTCCTTCACTCACTCACTCATTCCTTCACTCACTCATTTCTTCATTCATTCATTCACCCACTCACTCATTTACTGACTTGCTCATTCATTTACAGCCTCACTCGTTCATTCAGTCACGCACTCGTTCATTCAGTTACTGAATAACCACTGTGGGGCATGCTTGGGTTCTGGGAATTTGAGGATGACCAGACTCAGGCCCTGCCAGGAAGTCACTGTCTGGGACCGTGAAGGATATCCTCAGTCGTGTACGGATCACGTGTCCTCAGGGGCCACCAGACCTCTAGGCACAGGGTGAGGGAGACATGTTACACTCACAGGGCCAGAGACTGCAGAAAGCACGGGGGCCGAGCCGAGGGAGACTCAGGACATAACAGGAACCTGAGCCCAGGAGTCGGTCTCCACGGTGCTCACCAACACGGGCCCTGCCCGAGGCCACCTCCTGGGCACAGTCTCCTCACCGCCCAGCTAATCAGAGCTTCAGGATGTCTAAGACTCAGTCAAAACCCAAACCACTACCATGGAGTCGATTCTGGCTCGTGGCAACCGCCACTGGGTCTCCAAGGCTGTGTATCTTTACTGAAGCAGCCTGCCCCATCTTTCTCCTGTGTAGCAGCTGGTGGGTTCGAACCACTGACCTTTTGGTTAGCAGCCCAATGCCTTAACTACTGTGCCACCAGAGCGCTGTAGTTGGGCCAATTGGCTGCAAAGGACCTCTTTCAGGTGCTGAAGAGCAAAGACGTCTCCTTGAAGAGTAAGGTGCACTTAACCCAAGCCTTGGTATTTTCAATCGCCTCTTATGCATGTGAGAGCTGGACAATGAATATGGAAGACGGAAGAAGAGTTGATGCTTTTGAGCTGTGGTGCTGGAGAAGAATGCTGAAAGAACCATGGACTGCTAAAAGGACTAACAGATCTGTCCTGGAGGAGGTACGGCCAGAAGGCTCCTTGGAAGCAGGAGTGGCCAGACTTGGTCTGCCCTGTTTTGCTCTTTTTATCAGAAGGGACCATTCCATGGAGAAGGATGTCATGCTTGGTAAAGTGGGGGGTCACCAACAAAGGGGAAGGCCCTCAACGAGACGGACTGCCACGGTGGCTGCGAC